ATCAATAACAAACCATAAAATCCAATAATAGAAACAAAACAAAGCAAAAAATAAAACTTCAATTCCTCAAACAATAATTCCTATAAATACACATTATACAGTCCTATTCTTCTTATAGTCTTATCTCATTTCTACCAACTTGTATTGTACTGCAGCGTTTGTATCTGGAGTCATGCAATAAAACCTTAAATATACATTTTCTCATTACTCATGGTGTATTTCATGAGGTGTTTTTTTAGAGCCTACAGTAATGGGGATATAATTAAAAACATGTCATTGTGATGGAGTGCCAAGTTTTAATCATATGAAAGTTTTCGGCTTGTTTCCTCCTCTACCAGCAAAGAATTTAAAAACAGTCAATCAAATCCAGTATGTTGTAACTTCTTGCACCGAGGGGGGGAATGAATATATCAAAAGATATTGACATCAAAGTTAAACCAAAGTACTGCGTTTATTTGTGTAGTATGATGCCTTTAATAAACCTGTTGCTGAAACTACTTTTTTATTTAATAAAAAAAAGTTAAATAGAAAAGAGGAGTTGTATTTCTTTTTTTTTATTTATTTTTTTTTTTTTTTTTTTTTTTTTTGCCTAAAGGAGAGCATAATTTATTCTGCAAAGACAGTAGCCTGCATTTTGGTGAGATTGTTTGCACTTGAGGCCAAACTCTTTGTGTGGTTATGAAAGAGGCTTTTCATCAAGGAGTCATGCCTGGGCTTTTTTTTTCTTTGCATCTGGCTTACTGTCATTCACTCGGTTCCCACCTGGCTCCACACCAAGCCAAAATGAAAAGATCAAAGTATAAATTTAATAAGAACTGCTCCTTTTTTTCCCTTTTTGTAACAAATCATTCTTTTAATCAATTCATCATTTGTATTTTCTAAATTTCACTTTTTTTAAAAAACAAAAAAGAGGAGAATTTGTACATTTTGGTCAAATCTAGTTTATTAGTTGATCAAAAAAGTGTTTGAACATTTAACAAAAAGCTATCAAATGTAATTCATCACAAGATAAAGCTCATCTGATACCATCTATAAATGCAATACATGAAAGCAAAATTTACCTCATTTATCTGTAATTACCCTTAATTGTTCTCTTAATTCCTTCACTTAGCATTAATTGTTCAGCAGATGTAACAAGCTGCAGCAGGCCCCTTCAGGCTTTGGATTTATTGTGCTCGAGTTAAATAAACTACCAAAGTCTAGTTGTTTTATCTCTCTGTCTGAACTTGTGTAATGCAATGATAAAACACTATAGTTCCCTATAATGAAGAAAAAGCAACTGGTTATTGATCCATACCATCCAAGTTCATTCATCCATTAATCAACCCCACTTTTATGCAAACAGCTGCTGGAGCAAGGTGACATTGGCTGTGAAGCAGGGTTTGCTTGTCAATCCATCAACAGAACTAACATAGAAGAGACAGACAACCATACTTAATTAAATCCACAACCAATTTAGAATCACTAAATAATACGCCATGCATTTACACTGTGGCTCTAAGAGAAGTGCAGCTATTATTTTTTAAGATCTGCTCTATGCAGTTGTACATAAAGCTGGGACGGGTAGATCAATAGATTGAATGATTTCTGTCTGTCGACTTCCACTCGTTGCTTCAGGTTGATGTCACTGTTGAGGCTCAGGTGGGAAAATCCTGGCAATTGTTCGTCTGAAGGTTACAAGGTCTCCTGACGCCCTGCAGGAGATGAGTGACACGCTTCTTCTCTATGATTAAAGCCGTCACTGGTCCCAGCGACGGCTTTGATGCTTGGTGAAACCCATATGAGTGTAATGTCGTTAATCTACTTGGCAGCTAATGATTTATAGATACTGTCACAACACATGCTTAAAGACAAAACCACAGGCAAGCCAAAAGAAAGAGAATATTGCTATTTAAAATAATATGTGTATTTTGAGTTCAGATTTAATGTTCTGTCTCTTCAGTCTGCTAATTTCTCCAGTCAGTATTTCTACATATCCAGGCCTTTTACTCAGCTGAGTCAAGATTTTATGGTATAAACTAGATAGCACATAAGCGGGCTCCATAAATTACGGAACCCGCAAGGGGACATGGGAGAAAAAAAGTTAATTAAAATGGATCCTGGCTTTGGTTCTTGGGATCCTGAGAGCTAAAGTCGGGATCCTGAGAACCAAAGTCGGGATCCTGAGAACCAAAGTCGGGATCCTGAGAACCAAAGTCGGGATCCTGAGAAAGAAAGTCAGGATCCTGACTTTCTTTCTCAAGATCATTTGAAAGTTTCTCGGTATCCTGACTTCGATACTTTTGAAAATTCCAAGGGTCAATTTTGAGACATTTGAAGTCACGGCGATGGAGGACACACACACTTACTGAGCCCGCGAGGGGACATGGGAGAAAAAGTAAATAAAAACAGATCCTGACTTTGGTTCTCAGGATCTCGAATTTCGTTCTCGAGAACCAAAGTCAGGATCCGTTTTTATTTATTTTTTCTCCCATGTCCCCTCGCGGGCTCCGTAGTTAAAAGTCTTTGAATTTTAAGCATTTTTGTATGTYCAGACACCCCCTGTTCAGATGGAGCCCCCTTCAAATATGGGGTCTATTGTAAAACCGTTGGCAGGCACAGTGTTGGTCGGACACATTTATATTCCTCCCAAATTTCGTGCTGCTAGGTGCATGCCAAAATTTTATTTATTTGGGTGGGGTCTGAGGGGTGAGGGTACTCATTGGTGGGACCAATAGATAGCCCCTTATCAAAGCTAAAAATAATAATAATAATAATCTGAAGCTTCTATGTTGAATAGTTTTGGAGTTATAGGCATTTTTGCATGTCAAGACATTCCTTTTTCAGATGGGGTGGGGTCTGTGGGGAGGTGGGCAGCCTCATTGGTGGGCCAGATAGCCCCTCATCAGAGCTAAACAACAAAAAAAGGAAGCTACGCTTGTGGGGGATCATAATAAACACTTTGGTTTCCCATCTAAGTGGGAATCAGAGGCTTTTTCTTAAATTAAACTGTCTGACAAGATGGTAAAAACATACCTGTTGTTATTATTGGACCTCTGGTCAACATTTTATACAAATACATGCCTCACTGTAGCTTATAACAGACTTAACTTTGTAATTCAAACCCTCATCACTCCAATAATACAAACAAAAAAAACTCATGCAAACCGAAAAGAAGGTTTAAAATGTTTTTACTTTTGTTTTTATGTTTGCTTGTTTCAGGAGTGCAAGATTCCACTCAGGAAAAGGTCTTAACAGTGTCTGGAGAAGGAATGGTCCACAGCCCAGACTTCCCACACACTTATCCCAGGAATATCGTGCTAGTCTGGAGGCTTGTGGCAGCCGGCAACATGAGGATCCAGCTGAGGTTTGATGAGAGGTTTGGTCTCGAGGATCCAGAAGATGGAATATGCAAGTAAGCCAAAAAACATAAAATAAAACATTGTTTGTCACACAAACGTATGATTTTGCAGTGGCGGATCTAGGATTTTTCTGAGTAAGGGGCCATCAAGGGGCCACAATATTTATAGAGGTGTCAAGTCTTTGTTCGACAACCTTTCACACAAATTACCAGTGTATACATTTTACACTTCAAACACCTGTAATGTAATGAAATTTTTTTAAAAAGGTACTACTTTACAATAAGCCCCACCCCCCCTTTATAGATGGCTGTTAAAGAGTTTGGTTTATTAATTAATCTGTAAACACTTTAAAAATTATTAATATGTGTTTATTATGCAATAATTAAGGACGAGGAAGAGGAAAAACTGTCCAGTTTCATTTATTAATGATTTATAAAGTGTAAACTTTACAAATGAATTAAGAACCTATCTATAAACTCTTTATAAGCCATCCATAAGGGGAGCTTGATTGTATAGAGGTAAATTCTCCTCACCAGTTTTTCATACATTTTAATGTACATAGATAAAATATTTTCAAACACACAACATGTGACAAAATCCACCCATCATTTGTCAGTTGAAAGACTTTTTTGCAGGATTKTTCACATTTTAAAAGAGAAGAATTCTGTAAGCTTGATTCATTCTGGACTTTACTATTTGACTCATTAGAGCAACTAGTGTTTGAACATGGAACTGCATGCACCATCATCACCCCCAGGTAAAGGACAGATGCGTGACAGGACAGGGGCACTTCAGGGGACCAATCAGATTTCAGCTGGGGTCAATGCCCCTGTGGCCCCACCCCTAGAACCGCCCCTGTGATTCTGTCATATCTGTTAACTACCTTTTGAGATTTAAAAACATTGAAACATATCTTTGTTTGTTTACCTCAAATTCTGACATCTCAACAATAATTCTGTTAATCTTGAGTTAAAGGAGAACATAGGTCATTCTTAAACATTTTCCTTTGCTTGCTTGGCCAGCGACCATCAGATAGGGGCTTTCCCAATGACCTGACACATATGTGTTTGTCAAAGGTAACAGTGTGTCTTTGAATAGTAGTTCATCTTTAAAGATTTAAAGTCACACAGTGGCCATTGGTGAAATTGCCTTTGGCCTGCCATGGCAGCTCATGAACATTGAAAACCGAACCTCAGAGTGATTTGTTTCATCCAAGACGCCTCGATGACGTTCAGTCCAGCGTATTTTACAAGATGTAGTCGATTTAATTTTAGCTGATAACAGACTGGTGTAAATGACACTCCACACCCTGCAAATGGCAGCACATAAACCCAAACTCACACCAAGTGGTGCGGTAAATCATCATCTTCAGTGGGGAAGCCCACTTTCAGCCACTGATAGGCTTTGGCTTTGTTGTCATGCAGTTTAAAGCCAGATCCCAATTCCCCAACGATCGATTTACCCTGTGTGCATTATGCTCAGTACCTTGGTGTCGATATATCATGACTGAACGGCTGGCATATTGGAGGCCAGTGAGGGAAAGGTGGAGAGGACTATGGGGAGGGTAGCATCACTTCTAATTCCTAGAGAGCCCCCTCATGGATAACAAATGGAAGTGCTCTTTCCTCAGAGCTCACAACAGATTACTGTTTCTCTTGTGACTGAACATAGAAGGCAGGGAGAAAATGTTTTTTTTTAATAAGCATGTCCTTCATACACTGATGSTTATTGGAAACTATGTGTGTCTGATTGGAGTTCTGATCTTGATCCAGAATCTTGATAGATATGTGTTTGCTGCTACTATAATTGTATTAAATGCATTAATGTGCTTCTATTTTGAGTTTATGCCTGTGCTTTGTATTATTCATTGTTTACTGTTTATTGGAAGATGTAAACAACTGTTTGTGAGAAAAGGTAGTGCACCCCCTCACACACACGTACACACACACACACACACACACACACACACACACACAGGTTTGTTTTTACATCCTCATAAGGACCGTGGATTGATTTACATTCATTTTTCTGGTAATTTTTATAGCCTGACCCTGACTATTTACCCTAAAGGTACCCGTAATGGAAATAATACTTTTTGTTTTTTGCCAGTAATTCATGACATATTTTAACGACCCGGGTTTTCACGATGCATTGTTTATCAGCAGATAGAATGATTATAGTCAGAACAAGATCTGCTAACAACAATCATTCTTAGATATCACTTGTGTTTTTGTGTTTTCCCTTGACCCAGCATTTCCTTAGGATGAAATCTTGCTTTATTAAGATGGCATAATGGTGTTTGTTATAAATGAGGCCTCAACTGGCTCAAAGGAAGCAAGAGCAGAGAGCAGGGGGACAGCCTGATGGCTCTATGTTTTTCTCAGTAGCTGCGTTTCCATTGACCATGAAAATGCGCAAATTAGAATTTTCAAAATAAATTTGCTCAATAGAAACACGTCATTTTCGAAAAAATTACGTTTTTCAACAAAATGTTTTTGCGCTAGGATGAGGTGGTTATTCCGGCCGTATCGAAATTGGTATTTTTCGCAAAACTGCAATGGAAACACTTTTTTTGCATCACAGGAGTCCCGTGATCAACAACCGGCTGTTTCTACTGGCAAAAAGGACGACGACAAAGAACAAAACAGGAAGTAGAAGTAGTAGTAATCTCACGTAAGTACTCACCGACTACAATTTCCCAAAAACACAGCATACGTAGCCGCTCCCAAGTAGGGGCTTGTTGCTGAAAAACCTTGATAAGACGCCGACTTCTCCTCTGATGATGAGCACTAGTGTCGTGGTAGCAACATGCTATGTGTTTACATCCGTCGCCGCCATGTTTGTAATGACTTATTGCGAGAACAAACATATTCACACGTGACTTTAATAGCATTTCTTACTTAATGGAAACACAACAGTTGCGAAACTGTGTTTTTTCGACATTAACAGAATATCGACAAAGTTTTGCGCACATTTGCAATTGAAACGCAGCTTGTGTTCCTGTTGTTGCTGTAAATCTCAGCTGATCATTCCACAGAGTATACCTTCATTCTTGGACCACATATTTCTGTCTTTGTTAAAGAAAGATTTCCACAACAGTACCTACCTGACCCTACAACTAACTCTAAATCAGTTCACATCTTGGTCCTAAACCTTCCCGAAATTACCATCTGTACCGGTGGGGACTGGGCTTTGGTCCCCACGTTGCACATTCTGTCCCCACAAGGCTGTCTTTTTCTGGAAAATGGTTCCCACAATGTAGCAAAGACATGCTCCCACACACACCTGTCTAGTGTCGATTGCCTGCTGATAAATAAGGTGAGCCCTCCTGTCAAAAGCTTGCRAGGCTAGGCTGCGCTGTGGGCCAGGGTGCAGATAGACAACTTTTAGTGTTGTTCCCTTTTTACAAGACTCCACTTGTCAGAGACCTGAAAGCGAGGCGTGTACGAGACAATAACAACATCCTCTCACAGGGTCAGAAAAGTCAGAACACATCTACTGCTCCAACCCCTGACTAAAGCCCAACAGATTTTGGTCGGATCCCAAGATCCAGACTCTTGGCAGGGATTGGCAGACAGATGAATGCAGCATGCAATCACAAGACTGTCTTTGTGCCTTTTTTTTCTCCTCTCTTAAACACTCTCCATTTCTAACCCTGACACAGACTCACACACTCAAGCCCCTGGCCAGTTCTGCTACTTTTATCTTTTATGAGCGTTTAAAAATTCATTCACAAAATTTTCCCTCAGACCTCTATTTTACTGGTGTCAATACGTGGGGAAAAAAAAAGGGGGGGGAACAAAAATTCAGATTGGTGCCGTTGGTGCCCGTAACAGTGCCGCCGCAACGGCTCGAGCAAATAACCGCGGTGGCCAATCTGCTGATCCACAGCAATGACAGGGGCTCAACAACGAGAACAGAGGGAGATGTGTTTCAGGTCTGGTTGCAGCCCCCCCGGAGCAAGAACTCTCCGCTAAGATGAGAGAGGAGCGGTGCAGTCGAGATGCTCATCTGCTATTCTGTTTGTCTGTGGCGAGATGAAAAGCATTCTTAGCAAATCCACTGGAGGAGAGGCATATTGAAGAGGGATTGCTCTTGCTGCTGGTTGGCATGGCAGCAGAGTCGTGCTTGGCAGCTCCCCGACACGACTATTTTCAAAAGGCATTCATGCCCTCTGTCTGCAGTCTGAAAAGAGATGACTAAAAAATAGTTTGTTTTACTAATTTGCACCCTCTGTGGCAGACGATGGATCGATTTAATAATGCAGAAGATGAACGATATAGGAGTAAGAGTGAATATTAGACAGTTTTTCTTTGCATATCCTTAATTAGTTTTTTTTCTGACAGCTRTGTAAGGATTCCTCTTTTGTTCTCATCCTGTTTACTGTATCTGTTCCTAGTTTGGTATGAGTGTCAGAGCACTGGTTAATTTGAGAATGCACTGTTTAACGTGGTGGTTCTGAACACATGGTGATGTGTAATGATCAGGACAGTCTGCATTATTGATAAGCCATCTGTCCATGCTCTGGAGTTGTCAAGAGTTTTTTTTAAAAGCTACATCTCATAAAAAAAGTACTGAAAGTAGATCATTTTCCAAAATTGCTTTGTCCTGATTCAGGTTTAATTTAAGTAAAGGAATATTACATTATATATTAATGTTTTTATATATAAATTTTGAAAGACGTCTAATATTGCATTGCTTTGTAATTTTGTTTGTGCTGTATAATTTTCCAAATAAAGAAAAGTAAATACATATATTTACTCATGTCTACCTCTTTTATTTACCTTTATAAAAAAATCCATTTTTAGCTTTCTCCTGTACTTCCATGTTGTTTAATAGAAACCAGCTGGAATTGAATCTGTCAAGCTTGTGAGAAATGCAAACAGTGTCCTTGAAATCCAAATATCTGAAYTGGCAGCAGTGAATGAAAGGTTAGCGTGCCTGTTGACGCAAATGGCATAGTGATTAACTCTAGACTGAAGCGTCGGAGGAAAAAAAAAGCCATTCTGAATGCAGCGCAGCCTACCAACAAGTATAAATAATAAAGGCTGAACTCCTGAACTGATCATCTTAAAAGCGAARGGTGGTCAGTGTTAGCACTGGCACAGCACGGCGGTGTGGAGTGTGACTTCCACTCTTCATAATATTTAACGGTCTTTAGTTTTGGCAGGTTGGCCTGGAAAATAAGACTGCAGGGAGATTAGAGGGTCACAAGATTAGGGATGGAACAAAAGAAAGGATGGTTCATATATATATATATATAT